TAATAGCTACACTGACAGGATCAGAGAGAGACTGAGAGAGGAGTGGACGATGAGTGTTGAATATATCAATAGCCTTAGCTTTACGTTCTATAGAATACACACACACAGTCAATACTAATACAATTAACTTACCCTCTTGATCTAACTTGTCAGCTGCACCATTCTCATTCATAGATTTAAGAGCACCTGACAGTGAGTCAAAGGTAGCTCCTCCTTTACTGTCAACATTATCAGCTCTGGACAACCACTTGGAGAGGCTTTCAAGCAAGCATCGAGATACATCACCAGGATGATTCCTTTCAATGGCGTCCAATGTGTTCTTGCGTAGCCCTAGTTTAAGTCCCAGCCCATACCATTTTGCCTGAGGGAAACCACATCTCTCCAGTAGGTCAAGTACATCAATAAGTTGATCTACAATCATATTCAATGATACATAGATATTTAATGAACATTACCAATAGTCAAAGGAGAAGAGAAGAGACTCAGAGAAGAGGAACAAGAACTGGTTCTAGTTGCCATTGATCAAATAATAACCTAACCGGATGCACATTTTTCAGTTTTCAATCCAAAGCCTATCAAAATGATCAAATCAAAGGAATGACAAGGGAGGGGCTCGTTTTATTAATCCTTTATCTCCATGTCTCTCACTATTTAGAGTGTTGATAGAAAATGTGTTTCATTTTACTTTAGCTTGTCAGGTTCGTATTTACCCACGTATACATGCAATCAAAGTAGTGTTATAAGATGTACCACAAGCCTGACTATAAAAGTGGTGTACTGATTTTGAGCTGGACATTATAATCATTATTTGAAAATAATACACAATAATAATTAATATTATATATTCCTGTTGTTATAGTTGTTTTTATTTTTTGTTTGACTTTCCTTTCTTGCCTCCCTTCTTTCCTTTCTTCTTACTCCCTTTCTTAAAGGACCCATTCCCTTCCTAACCATCATACCTCTCCACCAGGCCTGTAGCTGTAAAGGAGAGAGGGAGGGAGAGACGGGGAGAGAGGGAGGGAGCAGGGGGAGAGAGGGGGAGGGAGGGAGGGAGGGGAGGGAGAGGGAGGGAGGGGAGAAAAATTATGTAAAAGAGAAACATGATAGTATTGATAGAGAGTGTCAAAATGACAGAAATTGAGAAAGGAGAGAGAATAAAATACATGTACATGCACATGTACAGGTGCATGCATGTATACACTTAATCTATTGTTTTACTTTGGTTGCTGTCGTGTTTTCTTTCTTCTCTTGTTCTTCTTTGAGTCTTTGTCTCTCCTTCATTGCTCTGTGCTCAATCACAACCTCCTCCCTCTCCATATACTGTACACACACACACACACACACACACACACACACACACACACACACACACACACACACACACACACACACACACACACACATATTATGGAAAAATAATATTAATATTCATAATACATGTACATGTACTGTAGTTGGGGAGGGAGAATTTTGGCATTACGAACCACTATGTGCATGCTCAATGGCACATGTACATGTATATTGGTAATAAATTCATCAACTTAAAAACCAAAATTTTACATGTACATGTACATACATTTAATAGTATTGTGTACAATTATGTTAATTAACACAAATACAGTAAATGCTAATATTTACAAAATTACATATTTATCTTATTTTATTTACAGTTTGTGATAGTTCGTCCAGTTTCTGTAGTCCTGCTGCTTTGGCTGACTTAGTCTCTTGTACTTCAGTGGTCTTCATTTCCAAGTCTTCTTCATACTTTGACATCCAGTACTAAACCTTACCATCAAGATCCTAAACAATAACAACAACAATAATAACAACAACAACAATAACAATAATAATAATAATGACATTTACGTATGCTCATGTACATGTATACATGTAGGTGCAAATATTCTAATATTTATTTTTAAAAATATAATTATGAATATAAATAATGTGTTTCATTAATCAATAGATTCTATTTTTACAATAATCTAGACATGTACATATACTGGTACACATACATGTACATGTACTGATACATAGTAGACAAATGCAAAATCCATTCAAAACTACAAGCGAAGTCATTGTACATGTACATCTATTATTATTATTATTATTATTAATTTTACTTCAATGTGTTTCTTGAGGTAGTTTTCAATCTCAGCATGTGCTCTCTTCTCTTTTGCTAGTTCTTGTTTCAGTCTCTCCCTCTCGTTATAAAGGTCAGACTCTTTATTCTGCTGCTGTCTCTGACTGCACTGAACTTTGACCTTTTGAAACAATAATAAACAAGTCATTAATATGCGTGCATGTGTGGTGCATACATGCAACTGGATTGATAAGAAAGTAAAATATATGCAATGATGCTTTCCAAAATTTTAGATAAAAATTTAGCTTGGATAAATAAATTATTGTATGTATTATGTACATGTATAATTATTACTTACGTCTGATTGTTTTTTAATGTATTTATTAAGTAGTTCGGTGCGAGCTTTAAGTTCTTGTAACTGATCCTTGCAGTGAGCAACATCTTCATCTAATTTCTACCAAAAATAAGATGACATTTAATTTATTAGAAGAAGCAATCTACATGTAGTTATAAAGGTTTAAAACATACATTACATGTATGTAGTATCAGAAATGTAATAAAAATTGGGGTAATTTTGGAGCCATTTTTTGGAAAACCAAGGGCTATAGTATTATAGCCTTGAGTATGTTTCAAAATTTTGGGATTTTATTAAATTTGCTGTAACTTGAAAAATTGAAGTCGGAATCACCTCAAATTTCTACACAAAATGTAATAAAAAATTGGGGTGTTTTCGGAACCATTTTTCAGAAAAAATCATGGGCTATAGGGTATTTTTTTTAATTTTGGGATTTTATAAAAATGGTCATAACTTGAAAAATTGAAGTCAGAATCACCTCAAACTTTCTACATAGCATAAGGACATCAATATGTATTAGAAAATGTAATAAAAAATTTGGGTTGATTTCGGAACCATTTTTCGGAAAAAAACCATGGGCTATAGCCTTGGGTATTTTTTTAATTTTGGGATTTTATGAAAATGGTCATAACTTGAAAAATTGAAGTCGGACTCACCTCAAACTTTCTACACAGCTTAAGGACAACAATATGCAATATGTATCAGAAAATGTAATAAAAATTTGGGGTGTTTTCGGAACCATTTTTTGGAAAAAACCATGGGCTATAGCCTTGGGTATTTTTCAAAATTTTGGGATTTTACTAAATTGGCGGTAACTTGAAAAATTGAAGTCGGAATCACCTCAAACTTTCTAGACAGCATAAGGACATCAATATGTATCAGAAAATGTAATAAAAATTTGGGGTGATTTCAGAGCCATTTTTTTTAAAAACCACAAGCTATAGCCTTGGGTATTTTTTAGAATTTTACATACAAGTACATTGTACATACAGTACATTGTAATTACATTTAGATGCATGTCATTATGATAATAAAGGGTAGTATTCATACTGTGATTTGTTCTTCTTTTTCTCTTTTCACTTCAACCAATTGTTTCCTTAAGTCCTTCACCAGTTGCCTGCAATCATGCTCACTACATGAAGAAATCAAAAAATAAAAAAGCTGTCACTGAGTGATGTAATAATGTAATACAAAAAATCATTAAAAAAATAATAATAAATAATAATTTAAAAAATAATCAATAATTAAAAAATAATCATAAAATAATAGAAAATAATAATTCCCAGGAAAAATCTTATGTAAGATCTTACTTAAATGAAACCTTAAAATGATCATGCATGATTAATAATGCCTGTTCTTGCAAGATTATTAGACAAGACTTGGCTCCTCCAAATTTAGTCTGGAACTTTGATTTATCGCTGCAACAGCGAAAGATTCTTAGTTTCTATCCCTCTAGTTTAATTCTTTTGTTTTTCTTGCAAGCCAATAAGACAGAGCTGCTGTCCTTGAATTTAACATAAGCAAACCCTTTGTTAATGCCAGTCCTAGTGTTTTTAATGATACGAATGCCATCAATAGGACTACAGGATCTGAGGGAGGGAAGAGGAGGGAGGAGCATGATAAAATGAGGAGAAAAGAGAATAATGATTTAAAACCATTTTATTCTGATCAAACAGAGATTTTTTATGAATTAGTGATCAACAAATTTGACTAAGTCTTATACTACATCAGTGTACATGTATTTTGTGAAAAATGGCTAGAAGAAAATTCTCCATTTTTATTACATTTTCTGATGCATATACATGTACTTACGTTATGTAGAAAGTTTGAGTTGATTCTGATCAAGTTTGGATTTTTTACGAATTTTCAAAGTTGCTCCAAAATTGGGGAATAGCCCTTGTACAGGGTCTTCAGCCAAAAATGTCTAGGAGAGAATTCTTCATTTTAATAAATTTTATGTACATGAACGTTGCATAAATAGTACATGTGCTTACTCAAATACTTTTCTCAGTTTCTCTTCATCGGCCCCCAAAGGTACATACCTACAAACACAGAACAGTGAG